CCACACCCCCCCTACCCACCCACCCACCCCCCCCTTCATCCCCTCACTCCTCCGCTCTCCGTTCCTCGCTGCACGCTTTCGATGCCCCAGGCGCAGTTCCGCACGGCTAATATGTGTTTAGTGTTCGCGGTACAGGGTGACGTGCCTGGGGGTAGCCCCCCCCCACCCATCTCGCGCCCCCCCCCCACCCATCTCGCGCCCCCCCCTCAGCCCACACACCCCCCCCACTCTAGCCCCCCCCCCTGCCCCCCCCCCCATTCCTACCACAGCCTCTACTCATCGCCAACGAATACCTTCCTCTCTCTCGCGTGTCCCACTCTCTTACCTCATCCCCCGTCTATCCCCCGCCCCGCCCCTCGTCTGCCCCCTCCCCTCCCTCTCCCTCGCGTCCCCGTTCAATCATTGCTCCGTCTCCTCTTCATCCCCTTGACACCTCCGCCTCCCCCCAATCCTCCCTCCCACGATTCTCGCTCCTCCCTCTCACCCCTCCCTCCCTCCCTCTGTCCTCCCTCTCTCTCATCCCACCCCCCTCCTCTCTCCATTCGTCCCTCGCTCCCTCCCTCATTCCATCTCCCTCGTCCCCCCCCCCTGCCCCCGTCTCCTCCCCCTCCCTCTTTGACACCTCGTTAAATTCGCCAGATGGGGCACGGATAGAGAGGCTGGCTAAGTCTTCCCCCCCCCCGCGCGCCCGCTCACGGGAAGATGGGAAATTCACTCCATCCGTGTGGTGACCCACCAACCCTTCGCTGCTGCTGCTGTTGCCTGCAGAGCAGTGCTGGACTACAGGCAGCTAGCCCCGTGCAGCAGCGTAGCCAACACCGCCACCGCTCGGCTAAGGATGCACGGCGCGAGTGATGTTGCGTTTCGGGGGGGGGAGAGTTCGTGTTCTCGCACTTTCATCAATCGCCCTCGTCTCAGCCTCCATCGCGCGTGTCGATGTATGCGTGCATACACACCAAAGACAAAGACTCCCCGTGTAGCCTTAGATTTTGGGGGGCAAGTGCTGTTAGCGAGTAGCACCGCTGAAGGTCGGCACGGCGCACGACGGGGTGAGTGGTCAGCACCACGCCCGGCCGCCTTTGTCTCCCCAGTGACGATGTTTACACACCGCACCAGGTACTCATTTAGGGGTAGAGTCGACCACGTGTGTGTGTGTTGCTAGCCATCCACCCCCTCTCGTTTTCCCTGTCAACCTTCATCTGGTGCTCGCTAACAGCACTTGCCCCGACAGTCTGATGCAGCCTACACGGGGGAGCTTTGTCTTTGTTTGGTAGTGCAGCGGTGAGCATGCCTCTCGCTCCGAACCCGGCGATCCGGGCTTTCTCGATTGCGGCTCACGACCCAACATCAGTGACAGAATTGTATCTGAACCGAGGGCCCGAGCCTCCCTCCCCTAGGTCGACTCAGCCTGAAACGAGTACCTAGCGCGATGTGTAATCAAAACATCGACAGTCACTCGGCGGAGGGGGGAGAGACAACTGAGGTTTATTTGGCGCGGGCTCTCTGGCCACCCAACCCACCATTTCTTGTGCGACGTGCCGGCCTTCATCGGTGCTGTTCGCTAGCAGCACTTGCCCCCACCACCACCAACCCCAACAGCCTGTGGAGGCTATACGGGGGACCTTTGTCTTTGCAGTGCGCGTGAGCGCCACGTGTACGCGCGCGCGCGCGCGTGCGAGGACGTGTGGAGTAGAAAGCGCCAGAGATCAAACTCCCCTCTCCCCGTTCGCTCCGAACCCGCGTTTCAACTCTTAAACGATTTTAATGTTTGAACGTAAATTAAATAAATAAAAATGCGCGCACCCTCACACACGCGCAGTACACATACACACACATACACACACACGTACACAAAGACAAAGATCCCCCATATAGCCTTAACAGACTGTTGGGGCAAGTGCTGTTAGCGAGCACCTATGAAGGCCGCAACGGTACACGAGGGGGTGGGTGGCCAGCACCACGCCCGGCCGCCTTTGTCTCCCTAGTGGTGATGTTTACACACCGCACCAGGTACTCATTTGAGGCTGAGTCGACCTAGAGGAGGCCCAAAACCAGTTAAGATATTCGTAACTAGGTTGTTGGTGGCCGTAAGCGGGAATCGAACTCGGGTCGCCGGGTTCGTAGCGCAGTGTAGCGCTTACCGCTACACTACCGCTCCACACACACATATTGCTACAAAGACACAGACAACATTGATCCCTAACCCTGACTCTAACCCTCCCACGTGTTTGAGTTGAGGTGAGCGTGAGTCGGGGTGAGCGTGAGTCGGTGTGAGTGTGAGTCAATGTGAGTGTGAGTCGGTGTAGGTGAGTCCCCCACACGTTTAGATGCAGCTCCCTCTGTCCTCCTACTCTCTCCTTTCATAACTCCATCTCTCTAATGCCCACCCTCTCTATTTAACCCCCACCCACCCGTCCTCTCACTACCTCCCCCTCTGCACACCTCCACATCCCCCCATCTCTCTCTCTCTCCCTCCATCCCTCATTCCATCTCTCTCATCCCCCCTTCGTGCCTCTCTCATTCCACTGCACTCTCTCTTTCTCTATTTAGCGCTCTAAGTTCCTCTCTCTCGCTCTCCGTTCCTCTCCCAATGACTGCCACATCCATCCACCCTTCCTACCCTCCACCACCGCACTCGCGTACAAACAACTCGTCGATGAGTCGGTAACGCCTTCATACGTAGAGCACCGCGGATCTCGGGCAAATGTTGGCTGCTGCTGCCTCCCCTCGCTCGTCCATGTTTGCATCTCGCAACGCCTCAAGGCCGTCCAACTCCATCGGCAACGAACCCTCGATGTTTAGTCCTTGCGTTACATCTGGTCTTCACAGGCTCGGTAGAGTTTGAGTATATATCTGCAAGGTGCAGATGGAGTTAATCTGTAAGGTGCAGATTGAGTTAATCTGCAAGGTAGAGATGTAGGTCATATGTAAGTTGGAGTTCATCTGTAAGGTACAGATGGAGTTCATCTGGTCAGCGTTATCGCAACTGACCGTTGTTGTTGTGATCGTTACCATCATCCTCCTCCATCCTCATCCTCGACCGTCCTACTCTGATTCCTCGGTTTATATAAATCCCGCCTTAAGACGCTTTTTTTTCTTAAAGGCCTTCTCTACTCATTAATGTTGTTCTGTGTTTTTGGAGTGTGGTGGTGGTGGTGGTGGTAAGGATGCTTGTATCCGTGGTCAAATCACAAGCATGTTACGTTTTTTTTTCAATAATCGCGTGGGCCATTTACCGGAACTGTACACGAGGGGATGGGTGGCCAGCACCACGCCCGGCCGCCTTTGTCTCCCTAGTGGTGATGTTTACACACCGCACCAGGTACTCATTTGAGGCTGAGTCGACCTAGAGGAGGCCCAAAACCAGTTAAGATATTCGTAACTAGGTTGTTGGTGGCCGTAAGCGGGAATCGAACTCGGGTCGCCGGGTTCGTAGCGCAGTGTAGCGCTTACCGCTACACTACCGCTCCACACACACATATTGCTACAAAGACACAGACAACATTGATCCCTAACCCTGACTCTAACCCTCCCACGTGTTTGAGTTGAGGTGAGCGTGAGTCGGGGTGAGCGTGAGTCGGTGTGAGTGTGAGTCAATGTGAGTGTGAGTCGGTGTAGGTGAGTCCCCCACACGTTTAGATGCAGCTCCCTCTGTCCTCCTACTCTCTCCTTTCATAACTCCATCTCTCTAATGCCCACCCTCTCTATTTAACCCCCACCCACCCGTCCTCTCACTACCTCCCCCTCTGCACACCTCCACATCCCCCCATCTCTCTCTCTCTCCCTCCATCCCTCATTCCATCTCTCTCATCCCCCCTTCGTGCCTCTCTCATTCCACTGCACTCTCTCTTTCTCTATTTAGCGCTCTAAGTTCCTCTCTCTCGCTCTCCGTTCCTCTCCCAATGACTGCCACATCCATCCACCCTTCCTACCCTCCACCACCGCACTCGCGTACAAACAACTCGTCGATGAGTCGGTAACGCCTTCATACGTAGAGCACCGCGGATCTCGGGCAAATGTTGGCTGCTGCTGCCTCCCCTCGCTCGTCCATGTTTGCATCTCGCAACGCCTCAAGGCCGTCCAACTCCATCGGCAACGAACCCTCGATGTTTAGTCCTTGCGTTACATCTGGTCTTCACAGGCTCGGTAGAGTTTGAGTATATATCTGCAAGGTGCAGATGGAGTTAATCTGTAAGGTGCAGATTGAGTTAATCTGCAAGGTAGAGATGTAGGTCATATGTAAGTTGGAGTTCATCTGTAAGGTACAGATGGAGTTCATCTGGTCAGCGTTATCGCAACTGACCGTTGTTGTTGTGATCGTTACCATCATCCTCCTCCATCCTCATCCTCGACCGTCCTACTCTGATTCCTCGGTTTATATAAATCCCGCCTTAAGACGCTTTTTTTTCTTAAAGGCCTTCTCTACTCATTAATGTTGTTCTGTGTTTTTGGAGTGTGGTGGTGGTGGTGGTGGTAAGGATGCTTGTATCCGTGGTCAAATCACAAGCATGTTACGTTTTTTTTTCAATAATCGCGTGGGCCATTTACCGGAACTGTACACGAGGGGATGGGTGGCCAGCACCACGCCCGACCGCCTTTGTCTCCCCAGTGGCGATGTTTACACACCGCACTAGGTACTCATTTCAGGCTGAGTCGACCTAGGAGAGGCCCAGGACCGGTTTAAATAATCGTCACTGGTGTTGGCCGTGAGCGGGAATCAAACCCGGGTCGCCGGGTTCATAGCACAGCGCGCTAACCGCTACACTACCGCTCCCCACTACCTCACACACACACAGACACACACACAGACACACACAGACACATACACACACAGAGACACTGTGTATATATGTTACGTTTTTTTTTCAAGAATCGCGTGAACCATTAACTCGCTCGCCTTCAGCTCCGTTGCGACCTTTCCGGGGCGATAGCGCCCTCGGGCAAACGCGAATCGCCACCGCGCCCATGAACTCCGCCGTCCCCGTCCCCCCCCCCTGCAGGTTTGGTTCCAGAACCGGCGTGCCAAGTGGCGCAAGAAAGAGAACACGAAGAAGGGCCCAGGAAGGCCGGCGCACAACGCGCACCCGCTCACGTGCAGCGGCGAACCCATGGACCCAGCCGACATCGCCCGCCGGGAGCGCGAGAGGCTCGAAAGGAAGAAGCGAAAGCTCGAACGCCGAGGGCTCAAGGCAGCTGCGGCAGCGGCGGCGGCGGCGGCCGGAGGAGGAGGCGGCGGTGGTGGTGGTGGTGGTGGTGGTTTAGGAGGAGTCGGGGGGCTGAGACAAGGGCCGTTGTCCGTGTCCGGTGACGAGAGCGATTCCAGCTCGTCCATGCAGGGCGGCTGTGGAGACAGTGGGAGTAGCGGTGGCGGAGGCGGTCCCGTGTCGTTTACGCACGCGTTCCTGCAGGGCGCTGTCAAGGTTGGTGGTGGTGGTGGTGATGATGAGGGTTCGGTGAAGGTTGCGCGGGATGAGGAGGTGGATGGTGCTGGTGGTGCTGGTGGATCGGCGGGTGGGAGCAGGGACTTGGGGTCTGGAGTGGTTGGAGGAACCGGGGGAGGTCGGGAGAGCGTGGGCGCTACGCAACCGTCCGATCTACAACATCATCATCATCACCATCAGCAGCAGCAGCAGCAACATCACCAGCTCCATCAGCAACATCACCACCAGCAGCAGCAGCAGCAGGAACAACACCAACAACACCAGCAGCAGCAGCAGCTAAACAACCATCACAACCACAACCATCACAACCATCACCTCCTCCACCATAACCACCATCACCACCACCAGCAGCAGCTTCAACATCCTCATCAGCAGCATCAGCATCATCAGCAGCAGCAGCAGCAACAGGGGGAGTCTGACGCCACGAAGACGACGCTCAGAGCGAACCCGTTCAGCGTGGAGAGTCTGTTGGCCGATCGCCCCCCGCAACGCAGACGTCGCGACTACGAGTCGCCGTGCAAGATCGGGGGTGGTGGCGGTGGCGGTGGTGGTGGCAGTGGGGGGGTCCCGGTGATTGGGGGGGGCGGCGGCTGCCCCCCTCGCCTCTCCTTCTTCCCGGTCACTCAGCCCCTCGGATTCCTCATTCAGCACCGAGCGTGCGGCAGCCGCAGCAGCAGCAGCAGCGGCGGCAGCAGCGAGCGACGCGGGAACGACGCCAGGCACGTGCAGCGATGCGATGGTGGCGATGATGGGGATGACGATGACGACGACGATGACGACGACGACGATGACGACGACGACGACGATGACGACGGAGGCCCCGAGGGCGGTGCTGTTGTTGAATCGCCGGCGGCTAAGACTGGAGCGGTGGCGCCAGCAGCTGACGATGCGAATGCTGCAGCGGTGGGTGGTGGTGCTGATGATGATGATGTCGAAGGGGCTGTCGGTGAGGATGAGAAGGAGAGAGCTGCCGGGGAGATGAATGGAGTAGACGTTTTGAAATCCGCGCCCGCCGCCGCCGTGACGGAGAGCGAGGTGGGAGTCAAGCAGCAGCAGCAGCTTCATCAGCATCATCAGCAGCAGCAGCATCATCATCAGCAGGAGCAGGACGGTGATGTTGATGATGATGACGATGAGTGAGGACACGAGAGCGGACTGAAGGAAGTGGGAGACACGACGAGCGAGCGTGGGAGGGAGGGGAGGGAGGAAGGGAGGGAGGGGATGGAAGACGTTTTGCTGGCGCGTTTGTTTTGGAGACTCGTGGTGGACATTGTGGTGGTTGATGGTGGTGGTGGTTGGTGGTGGTTGGTGGTGGTGGTGGTGGTTGGAGAGAAGACTCAGGACGTGGTACAATTGGAACTTGCCTGTCTGTCTGTCCACGCCCCTATGTGGCTATCAGAGTGGGTGTCTGTCTGGCTGTCAGTGTCTATCTGGCTGTCAGAGTGAGTGCCTGTCTATCTATCTGAGTGTCTATCTGGCTGTGTGAGTCTCTATCTGGCTAGCTGACCGGTCGGCTGTGTGTTGTGTATCTCCCTGTCTCTCTCTCTTTCACGATGGCTGTCTGCGTAAGTGTCTCTGCCTTGGCTGTCTTTAAAATTGTCTGGCTGGTCGACGGGCTGTCGCAGTATATATCTGTCTGTCTGGCTGTCTTATAATCCGACAGCTCTGTGTGTGTGTGTGAAACCAGATCTGTATAACTTTATTGACACCTGGGACATACTGCGTCTTACTTTCCGGATGCGTCTTATAATCGGGAGAATGTGGTCATTGTCTTGACAGGCGAGCCGGCTCGCTTGGCCGTGTGAGTGTCTGTCTATGAATGCCTGTGCCCCCCCCCCCCCCCCCGCTCGTTTGCGTGTCTATCTCCCCTACTCTCTCCGCGTGTCTGGGTGTGGATCGTTAGACAACCTTCCTTCTCCGAACACCGAGGGATGATTGATGGCCACTTCTGCGGCCAATGTTCGATTCCGGGTAAAATCTGTGGGCCCCCCCCCCCAAATCCTCCCCCCTCGACCCCCCCTCCCCCGGTATCCCTCCCTATATCTTAGTCATCCACGTATTTAACGATCGGCTCCTTAATTTATTGTAATTCATCGTGCCTTTTCTTTTTCATCGTTTAATTATTTAGTTACGTTGTGGTATATATATATATTTTTAAACATATTGCCGTGTCTGTTACATTTTTTTGGGTGCATTTTTTTTTGTGATAATTTATTTGAGCAATTATTTGTGTAGATTTGAGTTGCGACGGATGTGTGCGCGTGCGTGCGATGGTGCCGCGTTTGAATTGATCGATGATTTAAATCGGAGTAATTAATCGATTATTTAAGTCTGGTTATCATAATCGATTATGATTGGGGGTGGTGGGGGGGTTTCGCCGCGAGAGCACGAATAGATCGACCGGTCGTTTTGGGCTCAGATGTGAACGCGCCCCAATCTCTCTCAACATCTCTCGCCTCTGTTTAACGCAGCAGCAGCATCAGCAGCAGTAGGAGCAGCCGCAGCAGGAGGAGGAGGCTTTCGCCACCAATGTTTACCATAATAAAGGGGAGCGAGGGAGTGGGGGTTTGGGGTTAGATCGCGTTAATAAAAATGTGTCGTGACACCCACCACCACCCGACACAGAAAAACCTTTACACTCCAACACGCCGGTGTGTGTGCTGTACGAGTAACGAATTGGCACGTTTCTGTTCACGTGACAAACCTTACTAATTGGCTGTGTCGGGTGGTGGCGGGTTTAACGACACATTCATATTCAACAAACAAAACAAAAATCACTGTTATAGATATTTCTCCTCGATCTCCCGAAAACTCCACTCCTCTCAACTATCACCTACATCTCCAATCTATCCTCGTCTCGATCTGCTACGTCTCCACTCATCTATTTCCTCGATCTCCACTCTATACCCGGTCTCTCTGCTCTACCTGTTCTGAATCTCCACTCCGTCTCCGATCTTCCGCCCTCTCTGCCACATCTCCTGTCACCCGCCATCTCTCTTGCCTGCTGTATCACGCGACTTTAATCATCGCAACCATCATCATCATCGTCACGACCACCACCTTGACCACATCACCATCATCTTCCTGATCTTCACTACCACCACCATCACATCATCATCATCACCATCACCACATCAACGCCGTCATTATCGTTATCTTCACCAGCACCACAATCATCATCACTATGGTCATCACCATCAACATCACCGTCATCATCGTCGTTACCACCATCATCACCATCATGATTAAAACAGTTACAAAAACACGTTCTGGACAAAGACGATACAATATCCAGCGCTCAGGTCAGAACCCGGCTCTCTGAACTCCTCTGTTACCACGTCTCTTTGCTGAACCTTGCGGGTACCGAGAGGACGACTTTGTGTCTCACCATAGGCCACGGCAGAAACTTCTTTTTCTCCACTGGCACATCCGAGCCGTGCCAGCGCGGGACCCTCACGGTACGGATAGTTTTTATTTTTTCCACTGGCACATCCGAACCGAGCCAACCCGGGCCCCTCACGGTACGGGTGGGGGTTGTTTTTTCCCACTGGCACATCCGAACCCGAGCCAGCGCGGGACCCTTCCAGTACGGGTGGGGTTTGTTTGTTTTTCCACTGGTGCCGAGCCGGAACCAAACCATGATATACGCTGGCCTGGCAAGAAGATATCTGAATCTGACTCGGGGCCAAACCAGGACCGGGAGCGCGACTAATTACTCGTTCATTGCGTGCAACGTCAGCGGCACCGGCCTGGCTCGGCACGGTTCTGTTGCGGCTCGGTCTGCAGTGGGAAAAATAGGTTTCACACGTTCCCACGCTTGATGCTACTCAACTTCCCTCTCTTACCTAACCGTGTCTTTGCCTGTTTATCTCTCCACTGCGGCACTGTTTCACATGTTGTTGACTCATTCTGGAATCTCGCTCTCTCGCTCGCTCTCTCACTATCTCTCTCGCTATCTCTCTTGCTCGCTAGCTCTCCCTCCCCGTGTTCGTTGCGCACTCGTTGTGTTCGCCGTGACGAGACTTAAACGTCGCAGGAGACATCACCAGCAACACGCGAATCCTTCCAGAAAGCACCCAAGCGGAATCGTAACGAACAACAACAACACACACATCGATAAGCAACAGCAGCAACAACAACAACTAAGCCGATATCATCGCGAAGTCCTCGCTTCTGTCTTCCCGCGGTCGGCAAAAAAAGTCAGAAACTTTTCTCTTAACACCCCCGAAGATGCGACGCCGCTCCTAACTGCGTCTCTCGATGTCAGGAACAACCGTGGACACTCCACGTTACCACGACGGGGACCAGTCTTGTCCGTCTGTTTGTCCGTCACTTGGACGACCGCTCTGTGTGTGCATCGTCACAAAGAGGCGCTCACGTGGTTTGACCGTGGAGGGATGAGCACGTTGATGGTGGCGGTGATGGTGGCGGTGATGATGATGGGTTCTTGCACGCACGACACTTCATGATGATGATGGTGATGATGATGATGAGGTCATGATAGTGGTGATGATTATGGTAATCGAGGTAATTCCCATTGATGGTGATCATGATGGTTATGATATTAACGATGATGATAATAACAGTGTTGGTGGTGATGATAATGGATCATAAGACGCCCACGTGACCTCGGGGCTATAAATCTGACAAAGGTTTCCGAGTCCACAATCAACTCTCACTTCTCTCCACCCACCAACCAACTACCCAACTACCCATCCAACCACCCTACCACCTACCCACCTAGTCCACCAACCAGCCAGCCCCCCAACAACCCATCCAACCACCCTACCACCTACCCACCTAGTCCACTAACCACCTGCCCAACCCACGACGCACCAACTGCCCGCCCAACCACCCACCCACCCTATCACCTACCTCCCTTACCACCCACCCATCCAACCACCCCCCTACCACCTACCTCCCCCACCACCCACCCAACTACCCACTCATCCACCCACCCTACCACCTACCTCCTCCACCACCCAACCACCCACCTATAACAAAACATCTCCCGGCCACCGGCAGACGAAATGGACACTCGCCGCGTACCACATTGCATCGCCCAGGGACAGCCGCCACTCAGCGGTGTGGATGTCCCCTCGGCTGAAAACTGCAGCCAGAGCAAGCGAACGTGCCGCTTGAGACGAGGACTTGGGAGTGGTGAGCGCCGCTTCCAGATTCCCGTGGCGTGCGAAGCGTGGCGGCTTCGTGGGGGGTGGAACGCTCAGGCGGGTACCACGGAGAGCCCAAGTTCGATTCCCACTTCGGGTGCCGCTTTTCCTGCTGTGGATTTTGTAGTCTCTCTCCCTCAACACCCCCCCCCCCCCGTGCTTGCGCGAGTTTCCTCCGAGTTGTCCGGTTTCTCTTCCGCGGCTACAAAACCTACGCACTGTGAGTGGTATTGGCCAAGAGACATCGCAATTAGTAGCAGGGCCCTCGTGTTCGAACCGAGTCTTCGGAGTCCGTGTGGGTGCGGTGTTTTTTTCGTTGTTGTTTGTTACTGGGTCAAGAATGGGGGTCATTGTGGGCGCCCTGCCCGTTACCATCAAATCCCCTCGTTGGGTTTGAGACAACACAGACACAGATACCCACTCGCCTCCCCGCCTACACACACACCACCGTGTAGCCTCACCGGACTGTTGGGACAGAGTGCCGTGAGTACGAGGGTGTGGGTGGTGTGGGTGGTGTAGATGGGGTGGGTGGGGTGGGTGGTGTGGGTGGGGTGGGTGGGGTGGGTGGGGTGATCGATTTTCGCGCGCGCGTCACACTGCCGCCCAGACACGGGGCCTAGAGGTTCGACTCCCGAACCGGTCACGCGTGCGTCAGAGTCCACATCTATATCATTCACATAAACTATATATTTACGTTAAATATTGATGCTCAATAATAATAATGACAGTAATGACAACGACAATAATAATGATGTTATCTCCGATGATGATAATGATATGACTTTAATACGCTAAAGGGAGTTTCATAAGACGAGGGGGAGAGGGAAAAAAGACAAAGGTCCCCCAGATATCCTACACAGACTGTTGGGGCAAGTGCTGTTAGCGAGCACTTATAAAGGAGGCCGACACGGCACACGAGGAGCGGTTGGTGTGGGGACCAGCACCACCCTCGGCCGCCTTTGTCTCCCCACGTGTTGATGTTTACACACCGCACGCTGTTGGGGGAGGGGGTGGGGGGCTACGGGGGAGGGGACCCCCACCTTCGGGTTTCCCGGGTTTCGAAGCGCAGCGCGCTAACCACTGCGCCACCGCTCCCCCGAGACGACACCACGGACGAGATGGGAGCCGCAGCACCACACAGCCGCGCGAGCGCTCGTGCGTCGTCGTAATCGTCCAATGTTATCCGCAATATATGTTGTGTATCATATCCTGTTTAACGAAAGTAAATAGCTGTAAATAAATAATTTATAACAATGCAATTCCGCTCGTCTGCTCATTTAGCCTCGTGAATAATTAACGAGGCGGCGTGAATAATTAATTAATCGCGTCGAAACCCGCGGCGCGTGTTTGTTTTGAGCTGTTTTTTGACGCGGGGAGGACACCCTGGGCCTCATTGTTGTTGTTGTGGGGGGGGGGGGGTATTATGTGTGGGTACGGGGCAGCATGCCAGTGGGAATAATGGGGATGGGGCATGGGAGGGGGGGCATGGGGGGGTTAGAGAGCTCACAGCCATGCCAAACCGACCGCCCCCCCCCCCCCGCTCAGCTGTTGTCGCCATGTCCTACAAACCGCGTGGACGCATAGGAGGACAAACGGCCGTGGCTTTCAATGGAGAACAATGCACGGGGTGTACGACGTTCCGGGCAACGGCCCTTCGCCAGAGTCCTCTATTACACGCAGAGGCCCGAGACGCAACCAATTCAATATTCCCCCTCGCACAGTTGAAGCCCCCCCCCACCCACCCCCGCTACGGGGATACCGAGCAAGGCGTCGTCAAACTTGAGTCGATTCTATGGATGAGTTGGAGGGATGGGTAGGGGTGGGTGGGGGGGAGGTGGAGGGGGGAGGGTGAGTGGGAAGTGGGATGAGTCGGAGGGGGGTGGAACGGGGGAGGGAGGGGAGGGGTGTTTTCTTGGGGGGGGGGGGGTGATAGATTATGTTAATTAGCCCGTCACGTGACGCGATTTGGAGCCTGCCCCACCTCCGTGACGCGGTAAGGAGGATGCAGAAGAGTAGGGAGATGTATTCTTAGGTTTTTTCGGTAAAGTCACGTAGGTAAAACATTAAAATTAAAATGCTCATTTACTTGATACAGCTGTCGTGGCTGTGACGGTTCCACCTGAAGACGGAAGCTTGTGTTGCCTCCGAAACGTCGTGATTTTTATTTTATTTTACTTTTATTAATTTTAATGTTTTACCTACGTGACTTTACCGAAAAAACCTAAGAATATGAATCCTTGCAGTCACGAAAGCTTCAAATCTAGAAGTAGGGAGATGCTCGCGGTGCCTCTGCGTCTCGTCCGCCAGGTGCGCTCACCTGGACACGCAGGTGAGAGAGAGAGAGAGAGAGCGAGATATGCAAGCGGGGACGCAAGCACAGGTACAACAACGACAACGAGTCGCCCATTCGCCACTTGGTGACGTCATCACGCCACTTGCGCCAGGCTAGGTGCACTCCGAAGGGCACGCGAAATTTCAAGTTTCAAGTTTCATTTCGATTTAAAGCTTTCGTGACTGCAGGGATTCATCTTCTTGGTTCTTTCGGTAAAGTCACGTAGAAGGGAAGTAATAAAATAATAAAATAAAAACATAATAAAATTATTCTCACGACGTTTCGGCCACAACGCCTCGACAGACCTGGTTTTCACCTGAGGACGGCTGCTTGTGTTGTGGCCGAAACGTCGTGAGAATTATTTTATTATGTTTTATTTTTATTATTTTATTACTTCCCTTCTACGTGACTTTACCGAAAGAACCAAGAAGTTTTCAAGTTTCATTTATTAGGTATAGCCCTGTGAGCCATTCGGCTCTTGAATCGGGTGCAACCGCAACACACAGAAAACAAAAACATGAACAAGAAAACATCTTAAAGCGACTATGTGCAAACAGAAAATCCAAGAAAGTCCAAGAAAGAAAAAAATAGCGAAGAAAGAAATAGCGACGGCCTCGCTCGCTGCTGGCATGGAGGTCACGGGGACAGACCCGGGACAGGCCACTGGGTTGACCGACTGAGATGACCGACAGATACGTCAAGAGCCAAGGCACGGGCGCAAAGCGGCCAGTAACAAACGGCACTCTTGATGGCGCCGATGGATAAGAGTCGGAGGCGTTTCTTCACCCGAGCGAGGTCACGATTGCGAGAGCTCGGTGGCCCAAGAGACGATGGTGATGGTAACAGGGGCCGTCCATAAATGACGTCACGCACCTAGGGTGGGGGGAGGGGGGTCAGACATTTGTGACGATGTGTGACGAGGGGGGGCGGGGGTTTGAGAAATGTGACGTCACATCAAAATGCGCAACTTTAAATAAATATAGACAACACGTTCTACTTAATTAAATAGACTTTTTAATAAATGTTTTCTCCAACAACATCAGAGTGCAGCGCCACATTAAATACGCACTACAATGACAATAGCTTAAAGCGATTTGAAGCATGTGTTTTTTTGGGGGGGGAGCAGAGCTTTGTGACGTCATATTTGAGGGGGGGGGGTCTGACTTTTTGTGACGCGGGGGGGGGGTCTAAAATCGTCCAAAATCGCGTGACGTCATTTATGGACGGCCCCAAAGGCGGTCGGGCGGGCGGGCGGGCGTGGAGCTGGCTCCACCCTTTCGTCTTCCGTTCCGACCTTAATCGGGAGATCGCTCAGAGCACTTGCCCCAACAGACTGTTGAGGGCTATACGGAGGAGGGGGGACCTTTGTCTTTGTGCACACGTGTGCGCAGCTAGACGACGCGTCTGCATGTGCGTGCGCGCGCGTGTGTGTGTGTGTGCGTGTGTGTGTGTGCGTGTGTGTGTGTGTGCGTGTGTGTGTGTGCGTGTGTGTGTGTGTGTGCGTGTGTGTGTGCGTGTGTGTGTGCGTGTGGCGCGTGTGTGCGTGTGTGTGTGTGCGTGTGTTTGTGCGTGTGTGTGTGTGCGCGTGTGTGCGTGCGTGTGTGTGCGTGTGTGGTGCGTGTGTGTGCGTGTGTGTGCGTGTGTGTGTGTGCGTGTGCGTGCGTGTGCGCGTGTGTGTGTGCGCGTGTGTGTGTGCGTGTGTGTGTGTGCGCGTGTATGTGTGCGTGTGTCATCTCGGTCATCTCGGTCAGTCGACCCGTGGCACCTGGGTCTGCCCCGTGACCTCCTGCCAGCGGGCGTTCGACACTTCACGTGGCCTCAAGGTGCACATGGCCTGGCACAAGCGTCGTGGTGACGTCACCGCCACTTAGTGGCGAATGGCGGTTGTTGTTGTTGGCGTGTGTGCTCACAGACAGCGGTGAAGATTAGGATGATGATGGTAGTGGTGTCGATGATCGTCATTTGTGGCTGTAATTCTAATTGTTGTGATGTCGGTGGTTGTCGTGAGAGCCTGCGGGGTGCACGGGGGGATCGCGTGTGCGCGTGTGCGCGTGTGTACACACACACAGACAAAGATCCCCCGTATAGCATTAACAGACTGTTGGGGCAAGTGCTGTTGACAAGCACCTATGAAGGCCGGCACGGCACACGAGAGGGTGGGTGGCCAACACCACGCTCGGCCGCCTTCGTCTCCCCAGTGATTTGGTTTACAACAGCGCACCAGGTTCTCATTTGAGGCCGAGTCGACCTAGGGGAGGCCCATGACCGATTCAGATAATCGTCACCGGTGTTTGCCGTGAGCGGGAATCGAACTCGGGTCGCCGGGTTAGTAGCGCAACGTAGCGCGCTAACCGCTACGCCACCACTCCCCTGTCCACACACACACAACACGCGTGTACATGCGTGCGCGTGTACACGCGTGCGCGTGCGTGCCGAGAGAGAGAGCGCGCGTTAACACCACCACCACCACCATCACCACCCCGCGTGCACGTCCGGAATTAATGCCCTACTCCTCCTGCCCCCCCCCCCCCTGTCCATCTACTCCGCCCTCCCTCCTTCCAATCTCCCTTCTCCCTCCCTCCCTCCTCCCGTGCGTTATTAAGACGGATGGTGGATGATGGCCGCATTGTTGAGCCGCGCGCATTATTGATGTTCGCGAGTTATCACGCGATTGATCAGCTGTCAGCGCTAATAGAGCGAGGAGCTGCTGGGGTACGTGGCGGGCTGGGCCGTTTGGGGGCGAGTTGGGGGGGGGTTGGGGGTGGGAGGTTTTTGGGGAGGGGGTGGGGGGTGTCGAGGGGGTAAGGCGTGGAGGGGTAAGGCGTGAGGAAGGGGGTACCATCCTTCGGGAGCGGTTGTTTGATTCTCGACAGCTGCTGCGTGAACAATCACTCCGACTCGGGGGGGCTGGTTCCACCCCTCCCCTCCCCCCATCATCCCCCCGGGACCCCGAGAGAAGTTTTTTTTTTACAAATCTGGGGGTCTGGCGGAGAGGAGCGGCTGCCGGGAGGCGTATGGCAGGCGTGGTGGTGGTGATGGGGGGTGATGGTTGAGCTAGTAGAAGTTAGTGGTGGTGGTGGTTATTGTGGTTGATGGAAGAGATGATCATTTTGGTGCTGGTGGTAGCGATGCTGAAGTTAGTTGGGGGGTTGATGGTGGTGGCGTTGGTGGTGGTCGTGGTGATGGTTATTGTGGTGATGGCGACCCGAGTTTGATTCCCGCTCACGATAAACAAACATTTGCGAATATTTGAACCGGTCCTGAGCCTCTCCTAGATCGACTCGGCCTCAAATTAATTCCCGGTGAGATGTGGAAAGATCGCCACGGGGGACACAAAGGCGGTCGGGCGTGGTGCTGGCCACCCATCTCCTCGTGAGCCGTGCCGGCCTTCATAGGTGCTGGTCGCGAACAGCACTTGCCCCAACAGTCTGTTAAGGCTACACGGGAGATCTTTGTCTTTGATGGTAGGGAGTGGTGGTGGTAGTGGTGGAGTTCGGGGGTGGGATGGTGATGTGGCGATTTTAATTCTTATTGTTGTGGTGGTGTTATGTGGTTTTAGCAAGTC